ATTATAAATATTAATTGTTTTGTGTTTTTGAAATAAAATAATTCATTACACACTTGATATATGCAAGATTAATACCTTCTCTTAGCGGGAAACCTCCACTAAGTATTGCAATTTGATTCCAAGCATAGCTAGCTACTTAAAAGATTACTTGCTGTTCCCAGTTTTGAGATCTATCCATCTGAGCATGCGCGACCACGCCCAAATTTTTGGAGCACATGCTTCTTTATTTAATTAACAAAATGGCGGCATGAGGTAAGCTGGTGCGATCCAACAGTCACAGTATCACTTTTTCCTTTCTTGGAGAATGATTCTAGGGAACAAGGACCTGCGCATACCCTGTTGGAGTAGAATGGTGTAAGAATTAGCCTTCTATCACCAGGCAAGATTGATATATCGACCGACAACTGGATTGACAGGACTTTCCTGATGATGATGATGATGATGATGAAGATGAAAAAAGGTGGCTGAACAAAACGGCCGGTTTGCAGATTTTTGATTTTTCTCCCAGAAAAGGTCTAGAGCCACGCTAGTGGTACCAATGGAGTCCTCTGGTCAAGATAAGGTCCTCTAAGAAGTCTGGTAAGCATAAGAGCTCGTTTTCCCGGTATAGCAAGGCTGCAAAAGTCGTGGCAGCCATTTTGTTTGGGGGTGAATCCTACTTAGTAACGCTACTGCGTTACTAATAGTATAAGGACTTTAGTCCAATTTTTGAATAACTTGAAAAATTCATAAAAATCCAAATTGGATCGGAATCAGCTCAAACTTGCTATTCAGCATAAGAACATGTATATGTATCAAAAAAATTATAAAAATGAAGAATTCTAAACTTTTAATTCTTGGCAAAATTTGGTCAACGACCCTGTACTATAGTACAGGGACTTTTGTCCAATTTTTAAGCACCTTTAAAAATTCATAAAAAAATCCAATCTTGATCGGAATACACTCAAACTTTGCTACACAACATATTGATAAGTACATATATATTCATGTATCAGTTGTTCCTTTACTTGTATTATTTCCATTCTGTCAATGAGTGGTCCTGGTATAGTGTCAGTTGTATTGGCTATACAAATGAACAGGACACATGATAGAGCCACAGGAAAATCAAGATAATGATCCAAAAAGAAAGAATTCTGCTCTGGATCCAATACTAACAAAGAACTGGCTGGATCACCCTGAGAGAGAGGGGGGGAAGAGAGAGAGAGAAATAATAAATATACAAAAATGACCCATAATTATCAATACATGTACAAGAATTATCAACAACAATATTCCATTCCCAAATTCCCATACCTGGTACCCACGTCCCAGTTCATCAACCTCATCAATCAGTATGAGTGGATTCTTGGTCTATACTTTCCTCAAACTCTGTATCACTTTACCAGGCATTGGACCAACATACGTCCTCCTGTGTCCCTTTATCTCAGCCACATCAGTCATACCTCCTACACTGAACCTAAAGTACTAACACACACACACACACACA